CTAGTAAATTTGGTGAAGAACAATGTTCTGAGTGGACAACAGTAATATCGAAAACTGGAACAACAAGGAAATTGTCTAAAATTGGATTGGTGGATACATGTGTAAATGAAAATGAATCGCTTCTTGTTTGGATGCGTTTGTTGAGTAAGGATGCATATGTGGGAATCCCGTTTGAGGTGTTGAAAATGGTGAAGTATGCGCTTTGAAAAGTGGAGTCTGCCAGAGTGACCAAGAGTGGTCTTACTTTGATTAATTGTATTTCTGAAGAGCAGAGGAAGATTGCAGTGGGCCTCAAAACAATCCGGACAACAGAAGTTTTGTGTTTTGAACATCGGAGTAGACCACCCGTCAAATAAGTAATCTCAGGGGTGACGACGGAAGTTCAGGTTGAATACCTGAAGATAATTCCTTGCGTGGTTGGTGCCCGGCGTCTGACCCGCTGGGTGAATAGAGAAAAATAAGAAAGTCTGTCCTGTTGTTTTTTGATAAAGTACAAATACCCACGCATGTGAAGCTTGGTTATATAAGATACGCCTTAAGAGCTTTCGTTTCCAAACCATTACAGTGTAAGAATTGTAAAGGATTTGGCCATGTTTCAAGTGTGTGCTGACGAACAGAGTATACTGAAGAAAGGTGTGTAGAAGGACGACGGTGTTGCAATTGTGGTGGGTATCATGATCTTGTAAGGGTGAAGGAAATTGCAGTTGCAAAAGTTAGTGGTCAATCAAATCTCCGATGCAGAGGCGATTAAAATAATTGAGAAAACAAGTGATGCTAGTGAAGAGATGGTAGTGGATACACCACAGCCTGTATAAATGTTTGCTGCCAGACAAAAGATACCCTGTGGATTTTGTTGCGTTCATTTCCATAGTTATAAACTGTAGACCACAAGTCTCAAAGAAACTAGACATTATTGTGGCTGCAGCAGAAACGTTTTTGGGACTCAGGGATTTTACATCGGAAGACCCGCCCTCCCAGGTTCAACTTGAGCCTGTGTAGGGATCAGATCTGTTTTATTTATTTATTTTTAAGAGAACAGTTGTTTTATTTTATTTTTTTCGAGTATTTTTTTGGTAGTTCCGTTTTGGGGGGGGGGTCCTGTTTCCATCCTGCATCGTAGGTGGCGGGATGCACATTAAATTGTGTGATCACCAATATACCATAGAAGAAGAAGTAGTAGTAGTAGGGGTTAAGGTTAGGGACGTCCTAAGGACCCAGCATTGCACCGTTTTAGATAGGACCACCCTCATCGCAAGTCGCGTGTTGATCAGACGAGAGAACGCAATTTTAGAGAAGCTAATGAAGTTGTTTTGTGAAACAACTTCAATCGCTAAAAAAGGTGATACACATAATAGCTAGCTATTATAAGGCTAAATACCTTACGGGCTGCTATTAATAATTTCGTTAGCTAGCTAATACGTTACGTTAGAGCGGAACGGGAGCTTTTTTTTTCTTTTCAAGCTGTTGGGAAGGTCAAATTGAGCCAATTTTATCCTGAAGGAACGTTAGCTGGCTAGCTCACTGGCTGATTGATAAGTTTGCTAGCTAACTTAATTGTTTCTGCGCACAGAAGAAGCAGACGTTGGGACAAATCCCTGCGGTAAGTTAGCTACTACTATTACAAATCGCCACAGGCACATCTTCCTCAGATGGGTTTTGGCTAACGTTGTCTAACTAGGCTAGCTACGTTACTAGTAAACATGTTGGTAGTAAGCCAGGTAGCTAGCTAATTTTACGCAAGTCAAGTTCCATGTGGTTCTTGCTCTAGCTTGTTGGAAGCTGCAGGAGTGTTGGTCAAAAAAAGGGACAGTAATGCGCTAGCTAGCAGATTGTAAAGAGCTTATGTGACGCTCAGTACTGTCAGAGTTTCTAAACCTAGAGGCGAGACTTCCGAGAACGCTTGCGACAGACCAGGCCGGGGTTTGAGAAGGCAATGAGATTCTTCCTTAGTTGTTAGTCTTCTCAAAATCTAAAGGCACAACCTAGATTCGAGCCAATGTCTTAAGTAGTTGAACATGTTATTTCTCCAGCCTCGTGAAAGTGACATACTGACACGTTTTTAATTTTCGTCAAAAGCAACTTTATATCGAAAGAGTGCCGGCTTGCACATGACGTGTTACTACGTATGAGTTTAGCTAGCCAACGACGTCGCCATTACCTCGCCTATAAGTGTGATCGGGGATTTCTATTGGAGAAGCAGTTTGGGCCTATCTTCAAACTGTACTGTTTTTCGTACTTTTTGGTATAATTTTATCCAGAATAGATTCCGACCCTACGCTTGTTTACAGCTGCACTGGGGTCGGACAGGCTTCCTAGGGTGTAAGGGGACAAAATGAAACTTTGGTTCTGATGGTAAAAGTTGTATTCCATGTTATAGTATCACATAACAGTTTATTTCATGAGGATAGGACTTACCATTGCTGAGATCTTATTTTGAAGTTATCAGAAAAGGTTGCGGGCAGGTCAATGTTAATCCCTAGTCAATAATGGCACCAAATCACCGCTCTCGACTCAAAAATTCAACACGTTTTGTCCAATATCTCAAGATAGGGTGGTCATATTGTTTTGCCATTTTCAGAACTGATGTAGAACACAGATGATTCAAATAAATGTAAAATGCAATATTATTCAAAGTATGCACGTAATATGCACATTAATACACAATTACAGTAATTTAAGACCAATCATTTAAGGTAGGGTGGTGATATTATTAACAAATCAAAATGCTTTATGCAAAACTGAGTTTATAACAATTTGAAACAATTTATGAAATTAGAATAAAACTTGTTATACTACTTTATGTAAATTAGATACTTAATATGGTAATTAGTCTACGGAATTAAAAAAATATACAGCATGTTACGCCCATTCATTTAAAGTAAGGTGGTTATATTGTTGACATATTTATGCAAAACTGGGATTTTACACTGAATTTGACGCTGGCACAATACAGCCAATGCCATGCAGCGCTGCCTCTTGCCCGGCTTGTTACCTCAGCGAACTGCATCAGGCACTCCCACACAGCTAGCACTCATCGTGGAAATGGGTGTGGCAAAACATCAATTTGGACCAATCCCTGATAACCCATACATCAAAATATAGCTACGAAGCTCTACTTTGTAGCCTGCTGTTTTTTTTTCTTGTGACAGAAGCAAAATCAACTTCTTACCTTATATTTCAGTCAAAAGTTGTCAGATGACCGTGAAACACCCTCAGGATTTCCCATACATACTTGGCGATACAATGTAACATCGATCTTACTCTGAGGAATACCCATCGTAAAGAGCAAATATGAACACGTGATTTTGCGGGTTTCACAAAAAAGTCTGTCCCTCAGATTTGAACGTTCTTAACACAGCACTTGCTTTACATTTGGGCTCATATTGCATATATATATTAACGTACAGTATTGGAATATTAAGACATGGGTAACAACTGCCACATTCATGTTTTCAAAGGATTTATGTATTTTGACCACATGATTGACATTTAGTGAAAATATATTTGTTTACTGCATTTTTTTTTTGTTGAATTCTCACATAGCGTCCATTGTTTGTTGTGTCACCTAACACCTTAGGCTTCTTGTTTAGATTAAGACACCGCAGAGCCGGCACATTCAGAAAACTAACCTCAATCCAGGGATGAGAAATGCATTGTAACCCATCTATTCTGTGCCGGTTGTAGTAACTAGCTATCTAGCTAGACATATTTCTTCTCAAATGTCTTGCTTTTATCGCATGACTGATGTTTTGACTTGATTGTATCATGTTTTCTCTTTCAGGAGACCATGTCAGACGACTTTGACATTGAGGCTATGCTAGAGGCTCCATACAGAAAGGTGGGTAGCTAGAATTGCCAGGCTTGTAGCTATGTTTTTTTGTGCATTCACTATTTGCTGGTCTTGTATCATCTCTGCTGCTCAGAGTGTAGCTATTATTTATGGTTAAAGGATTGTGTGTGCTTCTCTCAATGTTTGAATGTGGTGTGTGTGATTCATTCAGACAAATCCAAAATTCGGAATAAACGCCCATCTATCTCTCTTTGTAGACTTGCCTAATGATATCTCACCTCTTCTCTCACCTTTTGATTCAAGTGTGAACTGTGGAAAAAAAGTAAGGTAGTAATTGCGCAATGTATTGATGTACTGTGATCCCCCTAGGACAAAAAGAGCCTCATCTTTGAACATCCTATCACCTGTTTGGTTACAACAAGGTGAATGCAAATGGATGATAATCAGCACATTTTTACCTCGCATGCAAAGGAGACAGTATTCACATTTTCTGTTGACATGGTAGCTAAAGGCATTTTCACCATGTTTACACCTAACGTTACAGTTGGATTGACCCATAGAAATATAATTACTGTGACACCAGTAGTTCTGGCACATATTTGATTTATATGCATTGACCTTTGTTGATCAGTGTCAATCAAGTAAGTCTGACCTGAAATAGGCCTTACATGTATTAGTACCTATTTTACCCTTACATTTGGCTTTAGTAGATTCGTCTACTCTATAGTACACTTTAACAAATTTATTATTATTATTATTATAACAAATCATTGATAAGGCTTAAATGTGTAGTCACGATTTTACCAAGGTCAACAAAACAAGCTATTGATTATTTTAAAATATGAATAGTGTCTCCCTGCCCAAGTCTATTGTGATGGTTTCCGATTTTGTAAATCAGCATCTTGACTTTGCATGCCTTTTGACACCAGTAATTTTCGTTTATTTTCTTACTACAATTTATTTGTAAGATTTATTTCAAAATTTCATTTCTATTATAAATGTAGTTAATGATTTCACCAGTATGAGTATTTTCCCCCTAATAAATACAAGCCATTCAAATACAAACACATCCATTCAGCTGGCACAAAATACAAATAAATAAATAGGCCATTTAACATGAGGCTGAACTAGTGGAATTTTTTTTTTCTTCAGTTTTACTTGGGAGTCCATATTACTAAGCAGTGTGACTCCCTGTTTGCTTCCGGGCGAGATGTGTGACAGAGGTGGCATCGAACTCTTACAGTCCAAGAAGGAAAATGGGTGAAGATCACAGGACTGACATCAACCACAGGATCTCTTTTAGCGGCTGTGGGCCAAGCATGGCCTCAGTGGGCTTAGGAACAGATAGTGGTATTGGTACGACAAAGGAGGGGTGGGGTTGAGATGACCAAACTGTTCCCATGGCTTACTGTAGCATTCCAAAATAGTCTTATTTCCCCATAGACCTAGACTTTTGGTTGGATTGAGTACTGTACAGTCGTGGTCAAAAGTTTTGAGAATGACACATACTATTTTTCACAAAGTCTGCTGCCTCAGTTTTGATTATGGCAATTTTGCATATACTCCAGAATGTCATGAAGAGTGGTCAGATGAATTGCAATTAATTGCAAAGTCCCTCTTTGCCATGAAAATGATCTTAATAAAAAAAAAAACATTTCCACTGCATTTCAGCCCTGCCACAAAAGGACCAGCTGACATCATGTCAGTGATTCTCTTGTTAACACAGGTGAGAGTGCTGATTGAGTTAGAATAACAGACTGGAAGCTTTAAAAGGAGGGTGGTGCTTGAAATCATTGTTCTTCCTCTGTTAACCATGGTTGCCTGCAAGGAAACACGTGCCGTCATCATTGCTTTGCACAAATATTGCTGCTAGTAAGATTGCACCTAAATCAACCATTTATCGGATCATCAAGAACTTCAAGGAGAGAGGTTCAATTGTTGTGAAGAAGGCGTCAGGGCGCCCAAGAAAGTTCAGCAAGCGCCAGGACCGTCTCCTAAAGTTGATTCAGCTGCGGGATCGGGGCACCACCAGTGCAGAGCTTGCTCAGGAATGGCAGCAGGCAGGTGTGAGTGCATCTGCAAGCACAGTAAGGCGAAGACTTTTGGAGGACGGCCTGGTGTCAAGAAGGGCAGCAAAGAAGCCACTTCTCTCCAGGAAAAACATCAGGGACAGACTGATATTCTGCAAAAGGTACAGGGATTGGACTGCTGAGGACTGGGGTAAAGTCATTTTCTCTGATGAATCCCCTTTCCGATTGTTTGGGGCTTCCGGAAAACACCTTGTCCGGAGAAGACAAGGTGAGCGCTACCATCAGTCCTGTGTCATGCCAACAGTAAAGCATCCTGAGACCATTCATGTGTGGGATTGCTTCTCAGCCAAGGGAGTGGGCTCACTCACAATTTTGCCTAAGAACACAGCCATGAATAAAGAATGGTACCAACACATCCTCAGAGAGCAACTTCTCCCAACCATCCAAGAACAGTTTGGTGTTGACCAATGCCTTTTCCAGCATGATGGAGCACCTTGCCATAAGGCAAAAGTGATAACTAAGTGGCTCGGGGAACAAAACGTCTACATTTTGGGTCCATGGCCAGGAAACTCCCCAGACCTTAATCCCATTGAGAACTTGTGGTCGATCCTCAAGAGGCGGGTGGACAAACAAAACCCCACAAATTCTGACAAACTTCAAGCATTGATTATGCAAGAATGGGCTGCCATCAGTCAGGATGTGGCCCAGAAGTTAATTGACAGCATGCCAGGGTAGATTGCAGAGGTCTTGAAAAAGAACAACACTGCAAATATTGACTCTTTGCGTAAACTTAATGTAATTGTCAATAAAAGCCTTTGACACTTATGGAATGCTTGTAATTATACTTCAGTATACCATAGTAACACCTGACAAAAATATCTCATAACACTGAAGCAGCGAACTTTGTGAAGACCCAAACTTGTGTCATTCTCAAAACCTTTTGACCACGACTGTACAATATGTAGTTATAACAGCGGGGGGAGTAATGGGAGTGGAACTCTACCGGGGCTGTAGAAGTACCGCCTTAGATACTTGTCCAAACATATTAGTAATGTTAACAGTATTTTTACTATATTAATATATTCTGTATTTTCTTGTTCCCTTACCCCTGACGACTTGCAATGTTTCCTCTACATCCTCATGATGTTCTTCTATCAACCCTGCTTAGGATGAGAGAAAGTCCTCTAGTGCTAACGGACATGAAGAGCGCAGTAGGAAGAAGTAAGTACTGATTTTAAACTCTTTGCTAAACCATCTCCACATTATCGTGTCAGTTAGTTGCTACTAGTCATGCTTCAATCATGTAACCTTTTGGAAACTGCATCAGTGATGGATAGGAGATGTCTGAAGTGTCTGTTTACAATTGTATTCGGTGACTGCACCCTGATAATGTAATCCTGTGTTCCAGGAAAAAGAGGAGCCCGAGCTCTGACAAGCGCAGAAGCAAGAGCAAAGACGGGAAGAAGAGCCGGGATCGGAAGAGGAGCAAGAGTCGGGAGAAGAAACGGAGCCGCAGTAAAGAGCGGCGCCGCAGTGGCTCCCGTAGCAGCGAACATGCTGTATGCTACAGAGGACACCGGAGCCCCTTGTATGTATAGCATGGTTTTCCAAACTCAGTGCACGTTTTGGTTTTTGCCCTAGCACTACACAGCTGATTTCAAAGAATCAACTGATCATCATGCTTTGATCATTTGAGTCAGCTGTGTAGTGTAAGGTCAAAAAACCAAAACGGGCACCCCTTGGGTTCCTGAGGACCGAGTTTGGGAAATGCTTATGTATAGAGTATTTTTCCTGTGTCACAATTTTTGGGCTTCCTTATGTCTTGTGTTCTGTCTGTGTTGTCTGCAGACAAAAATGGGTTGGATTAATCTGCTATATCTCCTCGTTGGACGTAATTTGTGGTTTCCACCGTGAAAGCTGTTGTCTATAGAAACTTTGTGGTGATGATGATGAAATGAAACCGGGTTTTGTATTTAAAAGCGGTGTAGTTTGTTGCCTTCTATGTTGAAGTTCACGCATGAGACGGATAACTGAAGCCATAGCCCTGGGGTTTGTGTCCTCAGGTCAACCCCCTCCCTGTTTATGTGACCGGGCTGATGTGTTTCAAGAGAAGTAGAATACACAAAGTAGGCCCAAATGAGGGGGGGGGGACTAAGTTGAATAGAATAATACTTATCTATTAAAAACCTATACAGTTTGGCATATAACCTTAATCAGTAGGAGGCATACATACTGAGCTGAACCTTGTTTTACACCCTAGTTTAGGGCTGAAATTTTATGGTGGTCCGGGAGGGAAGATTGGTCCACCACATGCCAACAAACTAAGGTTTTTATGATTAAATTCTTTGTGAATTGTTGGTGGTTGCCTTTTGGATGTCTTGTCAATAAAGTATGTATGTGAAGTCTGGGTAAGAACTAAACGTTGTGATTGTACTTTTTTTCAGTTGGAGACGCTCAAGAAGTCATAGCCCCTTCAAGAAAGACAAGAGTCCAGTAAGGTGAGATACACAGCCGGATTGTCTAGGTAGAAGCCGCAGTGGAGAGGGTAAAAAGCTTCAAGTTCCTTAGCATGCACATCACGGAGGACCTGAAATGGTCCCTCCACACCGACAGCGTGGTGAAGAGGTTGCAACAGCGCCTCTTCAACCTCCGGAGGATGAAGAAATTTGGCTTGGCCCCCAAGACCCTCACAAACTCTCACAAACTTCTACAGATGCACCATCGAGAGCATTCTGTCAGGCTGTATCACCGCCTGGTGCGGCAACTTCACCGGCCGCAACCACAGGGCTCTCCAGAGGGTGGTGCGGTCAGCCAGCGCATTATCGGGGGCACACTGCCTGCCCGCCAGGACATCTACAGCACCCAGTGTCACAGGAAGGCCAATAAGATCATTAAGAAGATGGAGACCGTACAGGTGCATCAAAGCTGGGACCGAGAGACTGATAAACAGTTTCTATCTCCAGTCCATCAGACTGTTAAACAGCTATCACAAGCAAGCTGGTACCCTGCCCTGAACCTTAGACTGCTGCCCTATGTACATAGTAATTGAACACTGGTCACTTTAAATGTTTACATACTGTTTTACCCACTTTATATGTGTATATACTGTATTCTAGTCATGACTTATCCTATATAACTACTGCTATATACACCATTTATATACATATTTATATTCTGGACATCGTACTGAGACGTCTTAATTTCTTTCGTTTTTTAAATTTTGAGATTGTGTGTGTTGTTGTATTGCTAGATATTCCTGCTTTGTTGGAGCTAGACGTAAGCATTTCGCTGCACCTACGATCAAATCTGTGTACGCGACCAATAAACTTTGATGTGATTTAGAAGCGCTATCATGGTTTCAGACAAGTTTTGTGAACAGGACTCTTTGCTCACCATTCATGAAAATGATCTATGTTACTCAGTTTTTTTCTATTTTTCAAGGCAACCAATTGACAACCTGACCCCAGAGGAGAGGGATGCCCGTACTGTTTTTTGTATGCAGCTGGCAGCCAGAATCAGACCACGAGACCTAGAGGACTTCTTCTCAGCCGTGGGGAAAGTCAGTATTCGCAGTTTACAAACTTAAAAGTATATTGCATTATCTCTTTGACGCATGAAATAATTCAACATCGAGACTTTATTTAACTACTGGTCTTTAGGAAGGTGCTCACTCTTGATACACGATTACTATTTTATCCCCTGTAGGTGAGAGACGTGAGGATGATCTCCGACAGAAACTCCAGGAGGTCAAAGGGCATTGCCTACATTGAGTTTCTGGAAGTGAATTCAGTCCCGCTGGCTATTGGCTTGACTGGTCAGAGACTTCTAGGAGTGCCCATCATCGTGCAGGCCTCTCAGGTAGTTGATTTAACTATAACATTTAGCATTGATGGAATTAGTAAATGTGATGTCACCTTTCACCGCTTACTTGGCAGATGGCATAGACTCACCATTTTGTGTGTGTGCAGGCTGAGAAGAACAGAGCTGCAGCAATGGCCAACAACCTTCAGAAGGGTAATGCTGGCCCCATGCGGCTGTATGTGGGCTCTCTGCACTTCAACATCACAGAGGAGATGCTGCGAGGCGTCTTTGACCCTTTCGGAAGGGTAAGGAGGAAACACCATTACTTATCAATTACATTTTAACCTCCATCTACACTAACTCTCTTTATATATATAACTGTTTTCATAAACAGATTGAGAGCATACAACTGATGAATGACAGTGAAACTGGACGATCCAAAGGATATGGTTTCATCTCAGTAAGTTCCTGATTTAGACTTACAATAGATTGGGCTGTGTGCCATTTTAGTTAGCTGATTCACACTGTGTTATTGTAGTTTGCAGATGCAGAGTGCGCTAAGAAGGCCCTGGAGCAGCTGAATGGCTTTGAGCTGGCCGGACGGCCCATGAAGGTTGGTCACGTGACGGAACGCACCGACTCCTCCACCGCCAGCTCCTTCCTGGACAACGACGAGCTGGAGAGGACGGGCATCGACCTGGGCACCACCGGACGCCTGCAGCTCATGGCCCGGCTGGCTGAGGGTGAGATTTGGTCTTTTTGGCGCTCATAATTACCATTAGGTTTATTTGTCAGCCGTAAGTGAAAGTTGAGCTTAGTATTCGATATCTCTACCTGTTGTGCTTAAATGTAAAACTAATTGGTCAACCAAGGTGTTGATACCCCAGTTGACTTCTATAATCGTTCCAGTATCGTTCAAGTTGTTTTGAATAGCTTTGAACAGACTTGATGCTAATGAATAGTTTGTTTCCCTCAGGTACTGGTCTTCAGATCCCTCCAGCTGCACAGCAGGCTCTACAGATGACTGGTTCCATCCACTCTACTCCAATCCACTTCAGCAACATGGCAGCTGGTACAGGTAGGCTCGTTATCCATGTGGAACGTATCATACTGCATATTGTGGAAGGAACTACTCATCTAAGGACATTTGAAGTTTGAGCTTATTGATACCTCATGCAAATGTGAAATGCACCACTAAGTTTGCTTTGGCTATTAATCATAAAACTCATTCTAAAGGTAGGTAGCAAAGGAAAGCTGTCAGACATGCTTTGGCAGTATGATTTCCAGTGACCTTTTTGCTCCTCCCTTAATTTGGTCTGTGATGTATCAGAAAACGATGCAAAGCCTCCCGAGTGGCGCAGCGGTCTAAGGCACTGCATCGCAGTGGTCTAAGGCACTGCAGACCCGGGTTCGATCCCAGGCTGTGTCACAATCGGCCGTGACCGGGAGTCCCATAGGGCGGCACACAATTGGCCCAGCGTCGTCCGGGTTAGGGGAGGGTTTGGCCGGGTGGGCTTTACTTGGCTCATCACGTTCTAGCGACTCCTTGTGGCGGGCCGGGCGCCTGTACTGGCGGTCATGGATGCACATAATGTTAACCCATTTAGTCTCCAGATAATGTGAACCCTCTTTGCAAGTTGTCTTTTTTTTATGCCCCCTTTTTCTCCCCAATTTCGTGATATCTAATTGCGATCTTGTCTCATCGCTGCAACTCCCCAACGGGCTCGGGAGAGGCGAAGGTCGAGTCATGCGTCCTCTGAAACATGACCCGCCAAACCTCCGACACATTGGTGCAGCTGGCTTACGGGATAAGCGGGCGGGTGTTAAGAAGCCTTGCAAAAGTATTCATCCCCTTTGGCGTTTTTCCTATTTTGTTACATAACAACCTGTAATTTAAATAGATTTTTCTTTGGATTTCATGTAATGGACATACACAAAATAGTCCAGATTTGTGAAGTAAAATGAAAGAAATAACTTGTTTCAAAAAATTTGAAATAATAAATAACGGAAAAGTGGTGAATGCATATGTATTCACCCCCTTTGCTATGAAGCTCCTAAATAAGATCTGGTGCAACCAATTACCTTCAGAAGTCACATAATTAGTTAGATTGCACACAGGTGGACTTTATTTAAGTGTCACATGATCTCAGTGTGTGTATATATACACCTGTTCTGAAAGGCCCCAGAGTCTGCAACACCACTAAGCAAGCGGCACCATGAAGACCAAGGAGCTCTCCAAACAGGTTAGGGACAAAGTTGTGGAGAAGTACAGATCAGGGTTGGGTTACAAAAAAATATCCGTAACTTTGAACATCCCACGGAGCACCATTAAATCCATTATTAAAAAATTGAAAGAATATGGCACCACAACAAACCTGCCAAGAGATGGCCGCCCACCAAAACTCACGGACCAGGCAAGGAGGGCATTAATCAGAGGGCAACAAAGAGACCAAAGATAACCCTGAAGGTGCTGCAAAGCTCCACCGCGGAGATTGGAGTATCTGTCCATAGGACCACTTTAAGCCGTACACTCCACAAAGCTGGGCTTTATAGAAGAGTGGCCAGAAAAAAGCCATTGCTTAAAGAAAAAAATAAGCAAACACGTTTGGTGTTCGCCAAAAGGCATGTGGGAGACTCCCCAAACATATGGAAGAAGGTACTCCGGTCAGATGAGACTCAAATTGTGCTTTTTGGCCATCAAAGAAAACACTATGTCTGGCGCAAACCCAACACCTCTCATCACCCCGAGAACACCATCCCCACAGTGAAGCATGGTGGTGGCAGCATCATGCTGTGGGGATGTTTTTCATCGGCAGGGATTTGGGGTTTATTTATAAATCTATAAAAACATGCAAAGAGGGTTAACATTATCTGGAGACTAAATGGGTTAACATTATCTGCATCCATGACCACCAGTACAGCGGTTCTTCCTTTAAAAGTTGTGTCATACTGCAGCACAGCTTGCGGTGTGCTGCGGAATGGTATGGCACTGTTGGAGTGCATGACGTCATAATATTTTACTGTCAGCCATTGTTGCCATTTAATGTTAGTTTGACCACCAGAGGGCATCTTTGAGAAGCTAAGTTATTGAAATGACGTGGAGCTGTAGGCCTAAGAGTCCTGTTTACTGTAGCTGTTTTAGCGTAACTTACTTATTGGCATAAAGGCCTACTTCAATATACAGGTTATCATTAATTCATTTGTGCATGTCATCACACAGCATACAAGTCATCCATGTCTTTAAATACAGTCATGCGTTTTAGTTATAAAATGAAATAACAAAGGGAGCCTTGAATAATTAAACAATGAATAAACCGCAACATGTCGGCTAAAGCGATTGAATTCACAAATGCATTTGACTGTTTTTAATATTGGCTGTACTAGAGACTTTAAAACCTTTTTTTTTGTTGTTAGAACAGACTATATGGGATTGATAATTTGTTTGTAAATTATTATTGTATTTGTTGTGCTTTTTATACTGTTAGAAATGTAGCTTAATTAAATTGATTAATATTATGGTGTTTCTATTCCAAGAAAAACGAAAATGCATTTTACAGTAGGCTATGTAGGCCTCAGTGTTTCCGTTAGGAAAATATGGCGCTGTACAACGTGACTGGTCAGGAGTAGACCTAGGCTTATAAGCGACTGCGAGTGAAGAGCAAAATAATCCTACAATTTCCACACCCTCAGTCAACACATATTTTAAGAAATAATGGTATATAACAGACCATTTTTGTTTCTCTTAGAATAAAAACCTTACAGTGTAACAACCATTTTAATAAGTAATAAGCTACAGTCCAGTTAAAGCTTCTTCTGACAAAGTAGAAACAAAGAGCAAATCTTACACAATTGTTCTAAATTCAATAACTCTTCTTCATCCTCATCATTCCATTAATTCAAATAGAATTGTAATACATTTTGTCACTCCTGTTCAACAACTCCAAATTGATTTTGCATGTGCTCTAAAGGGATAACTTGAAATAATATGATATAGGTTAATTAAATAATCAAAAGGAAAAATGTGATTTATTTATTAGCCTAGTGGATATAAGTATTTTAGGCATATTGTGAATTAGGCCTCATGTAAAATCATTGTCAAAGGTGCAAGAGATACTATTGCATGACAAACAGGTGCTGTTAGATTACAATAATTTATCTGCCAGTTTGGAACAGTGTAAACAATACTAAATAAAGTATAAGTAATACCAGAGAGTCTGTTCTAATGAAAAAATTATTGAAAAGCCTTTAATACAGCATAGCAAATTTTAAAAACAGCCGGATTTATGAAATTGCTTTATCCTACATTTTGCGGTTGCATGAGGCTTGGTGATCACAGAATCAGTAGGATATAAAACAAACACTCAAACAGGCAATAGAAGCAGGAACAGCATAGGGCTGAGTGACTCACTCATTCCTGGCTTTCGTTCAAAATAAGTTATAATGCAGGGTTAAATAAGACTCAACTCTGACTGACCGCAGCATCTATCGGTAGTCTAAACTGTGGCACAAATTGGGGGATTTTTCACACCTAGCCAAGCTATTAGACTATCCTTTTGTAAAAAAATAAAAAGTCAGTCCACAAGTGTAATTGCGCTATTGTATTTACCCAAGTTCTCTCAACTCTGGGACCACCCGTCCTCTTCTTTGTTGTTGCCTGATGCAGGACTCAAGTGCCAAAGAGGAGACTCTTGGACTGAAACATTCACACCTCCATTAATTTAGGAAAAGATAGTCAATTTGTGCCACAGTTCAGACTACCGATAGATCAGCGTTCTAACTCCCCCTTGTGATAGTGTGGTGCAATGACAGAATTACACAATTTAGCACAATCTGCCACAAATGGTAGCGGCATAAGCTCAAAACTTTTGATTGAGGAACCACTGTATATGATCATCTCAAATGAACCGCCATAAGACTTCTCATCTTTTCTCACTATAATTTCTCCTTTAATGATCTCTTCCACATTTATCCAATAGATCCACATGTAAACACTAAAGGCCAATCCGGCATTGCCACCAACACTCATTATGAGGTATGTTAATCACTTCTGATCACATCCCTGCAACAACCTGCCATGACGTTGTCAGCCTCTGATGAAAGAGTTGGTCTCTGAGATGTCTATGTGAAAGCTGTTTTTTCACTCACCGTGGCCCTGCTTGAAAAGAGCACATTGAATATCATGGGCAACTGGTATGAAACCCAGAATGAGTTTACATCATTCAAGTCAACCCGTGTGTTGTTTTGACTTGCCAAAGCCAGCAGTTTGTCTTGCTAAGTGAAGGGACTCTTCAAACTTATGTAACACACTACAATATCACAGTACCATGTTAGATGTGAATGCTGATATTGAAGTAGCATGCAGAAACAGGATAACCTTTGCTTCTCTCACATTGTTTGCCATATGCAATGGCTGTCCTCTTCTAGCACCTAGGCCTAATGGTTTGATGTGCAGCGTAGTAAGTCCATGGTCTTCATCCATTGTGCATCGTTCCATCCTCACAACCTTTTCTAACTGAAGTGCAAGTCTTTAATTTCTCTTCTTCTAATCTTTTAGACATACAAGCCAGGCTGAACCCACCCCCTGAAGGTGAATGTGAAAGAAAGTGTACAGCTTCTCAAATCTGCACATGATTTAATGCTCATCTAAAATAAATCATTTCGTTTCAAGTTCTCATGTTTCAAACCGGAGAGAAATCCCCCATGGTCATTTTTTCTTGTATTGGTCTGAAATCATTGCGGTCATGCATACCCACATTTATTTTTGTTTAAGCCACATTATAAGATTCTCAAGCTGTCTGTTATTATCTCTGGTTTTCTTGTGTGTAACTACATTGTGTCCAAACGTGCATTGAAACAACACAGAGGAAAAACCAGTCCTGTACTTTGAGATGTATTCATTGATTGTCTTGGTAAAGGGGGCAGGGAATGGAAAGGATGGTCAGCTTGATGTTCTCAGTTAGAAGCAGGGTTGGGGTCAGTTAATGCCATTGAAATTCCAGTCAGTTAAGGAACTGATCAATTCCTCAGACAGGAATTGATCTGCACTTGACTCCAGCTCTGGTGAGAAGGACCTCTGTTAATGATACTGTCATCTCCTTTTACAGCTCCTGCCACCCCTTCACTGAACCTGGCTCCAAGCATGAACCAGGCCATGAACCTCACAACGCAGCCACTGGCTACTCACTGCCTACAGCTGTCCAACATGTTCAACCCACAGTCGTAAGACACTACTTTAACCTTTTCATTTCATGATGAAAGGAAGCATTGTTTTAGAGTTTTAATAAAATTCACTGAACTAAGTTCACAAATGCATCCCCAAATATAATATTAGGATAGAATTAGAAGATACTGAACGATTGTAAACTAATTAATTTGTTTCTGGGAGCCAAAAAGTATTTACTTTCAATGTAAATGTAACTGGTCATTTCCTGAAGCTGGGTTAGGTCAGATGAGTTTGATGAATGGCTTGAAATTACCAGCCTCTTTTCCAGGGAAAATGAACCCGGCTGGGACGTCGAGATTCAAGATGACGTCATTGAGGAGTGCAACAAACACGGTGGAATTGTCCACATATACGTCGACAAGAACTCCCCTCAGGTAAACCGCTTTTGAAATGCACTTTAAAGAAGTGAATAGGTCTAAGGTGGTCCAGCAAATTGCGCACTTTGTAAATAAATTATAAATGCATTCACCATTTCTTTATTGTCAATTATACCATTTTACCCATCAAATAGTCTGTTGCAAATTGAACGTTGTCTTATTGCCCTTACCTCATTACTTCTTTCCTTTATAGGGCAACGTGTACGTAAAATGCCCCACAATCCCAACAGCACTGGCTGCAGTGAATGCGCTACATGGGCGGTGGTTTGCAGGTGGGTATCCTTGTACCAATGGATTATGTATGGTCATTCTTTGATATTTATATACCTTGCATTTAGATCAGTTATGTTTGTGGCTAGGGATGGTGGGAACTAACCAAAATTAAATAGTACCATGTTTAGGGAATTTCTGCTGCTGATTTGTAATCTATAGCTCGATTATGTTCTTTAGAACTCTCAGGTTTCTACATTTAATAAATGACTAATTCATATGTATTTGACAAGTATTGATGTTTTTTTTTTTTCCTCTCTCTCTCTGTAGGTAAAATGATCACTGCAGCGTACGTACCCCTCCCAACCTACCACAACCTATTCCCTGATTCGGTAACGGCCGCCCAGTTATTGATGCCTGTGCGGCGATGAGCCTGCCATGCATGGAGTAGATGTCACAACGCTTGTTGGCTTCAAGAATGTACATACTTTTTTGCTAATATGTTGGGCTCTTATTGAACAGAGTAGTGCATTACTGTACCAGTACACCCTACCTTAATCTAGAAATACAAAGGTTTTGAAGGAGATTTAAAATGTTTTATTGTTCAGTCTGACAGCCATCAGAAGCTTGAGTTCTTCTGTAACCACACATTTCTGTAGCTGCACTTGAGCAAATTACGTTGTGTGTTTCAACCTGTATTGTAAGACTACAGTTGGGGGTTTTGGTGGGGGTAGGGGCGCGCTGGGTACAGAGTTGTTATACAGATGTTTTACAGTGGGAAGTGGGAACTGCGTATATTTCTGTTGAAACTGACCCCAGAAGAACAACCAATTTTTGGGACAGCCCAAACAAATGAACCTGTGACTCAAATTGCAGTCTGCCCTATGCTGTCCTCATCCCATTACCACATTTATATTGTACATTTAGTCAGTCAGTTGTGCTTTTAGAAATGTTAATTTGCCATGTACGTTTTTGTCAGTTAATGTGTTAAATTAAAAGAACGATGCCTACAAACAGATAATTTTTTTTACAACTTCAAGGTATTCATTGTACCATTAGAAATGGTATTGCTACTATTTACACCACGGGTATGGTACTGATTGATAAGTCAATACATTTAGCAGTACATAACTGGTCAATAGAGTTAGACGTTTTGTGCTTGGAACAATTTTTCTCCAACTCAATTAGTATTTGGTAGCATTGCCTTTAAATTGTTTAACTTGGGTCAAATGTTTCGGGTAGCCTTCCACAAGCTTCCCACAATAAATTGGGTGACTTTTTGCCTGTTCCTCCTGACAGGGCTGGTGTAACTGAGTCAGGTTTGTAGGCCTCCTTGCTCGCACACGCTTTTTCAGTTCTGCCCACACATTTTATATAGGATTGAGGTCAAGGCTTTGTGATGGCCACTCTTGACTTTGTTGTCCTTAAGCCATTTTGACACAACTTTGGAAGTATGCTTGGGGTCATTGTCCATTTCGAAGACCCATTTGTGGCCAAGCTTTAACTTCCTGACTGATGTCTTGAGATGTTGCTTCAATATAAATATATCATTTTCCTTCCTCATGATGCCATCTATTTTGTGAAGTGCACCAGTCCCTCCTGCAGCAAAGCACCCCCACAGCATGATAATGCCACCCCTGTGCTTCACGGTTGGGATGGTGTTCTTCGGCTTGCAAATAACCCCCTTTTTCCTCCAAACATAACAATGGTCATTATGGCCAAACAGTTCTATTTTTGTTTCATCAGACCAGAGGACATTTCTCCAAAAAGTATGATCTTTGTCCCTATGTGCAGTTGCAAACCGTAGTCTGGCTTTTTTATGGCGGTTTTGGAGCGGTGGCTTCTTCCTTGCGGCCTTTCAGGTTATGTCGATATAGGACTCGTTTTACTGTGTATATAGATACTTTTGTACCGGTTTCCTCCAGCATCTTCACAAGGTCCTTTGCTGTTGTTCTGGGATTGATTCGCACCAGTTCATCTCTAGGAGACAGAACGCGTCTCCTTCCTGAGCGGTATGATGGCTGCGTGGTCCCATGGTGTTTATACTTGCATACTATTGTTTGTATGGATGAATATGGTACCTTCAGGCGTTTGGAAATTGCTCCCAAGGATGAACCAGACTTGTGGAGGTCTACAATTGTTTTTCTGAGGTCTTTGCTGATTTATTTTGATTTTCCCATGATGTCAAGCAAAGAGGCACTGAGTTTGAAGGTAGGCCTTGAAATACATCCACAGGTACACCTCCAATTGACTCATGTCAATTAGCCAATCAGAAGCCTCTAAAGCCATGACATTTTCTGGAATTTTCCAAGCTGTTTAAAGGCACAGTCAACTTAGTGTATGTAAACTTCTGACCCACTGGAATTGTGATTAAGTGACATAATCTGTAAACAATTTACTTGTGTCATGCACAAAGTAGATGTCCTAACCGACTTGCCAAAACTATAGTTTGTTAACAAGAAATTTGTGGAGTGGTTGAAAAATGAGTTTTAATTACCTAAGTGTATGTAAACTTCCGACTTCAACTGCACATGAATGTTGTCGGGTGCAGTGCTACACTTGTTGCATGATACCTGTAGCTGAAAGGGCCAACAGTGAAATAATGTAGTCTGAGCTTAAACGTGTACAATAACAGCAATTGTTGCTATACTGCACACCTAAGTAATAAACCATCTGCTCTGCAAGCTGGTACTGGCCTTTACTCAAGCACAGCAGGTCATGCTTATTGCTTACATACAGAACATTTGATTAAATTGTGTTACTGACCATGAATGTACTAGGTATTACTTTTAGATTCAGTATGAGCCAAGATGTTTCGATTGGTACCTGTACCTACCGGTTAGTTTGAATGTCTCCATTATTGGAACATCCAGAAACTATTCCCACCTCAATATGATCCCCTCTTGCCTCTAGTTTGTTTTCACCTTTTAAAGATCCCATTGGGGTATTATCAACACTGTATACTTCTCCAAGGAATTACAGTTACATCAAAATCTTTACCACTATTTCACTCTGCATATTCTATAGTTCTGAACTAATCACTGATCTGTAACAGAAAAATTGAAGGGGGTTTCATTCCACAGATCCACAACAAATGAGACGTGATACACAGGTTTAAAGCACAAAAATACTAAGCCATTTTCTTTTAAAAAAACAAAAGTAGAATAAACAACCCACTGCAAAAAGCATGGTTTTATTTTCACAGATATATATTTATCAAATTCACAGATTTCAATCAAATGTGCCATTTACCAAAAAAATCTATTTTTTGCCCACTTTTCAAAAATGTTTGTGTTAGTTTGAACTTTGTCCTTCAGCGATTCTTTGCAGTGTCCTGGAACACAAGTAATATTACATTCAGCAACTGAACTGCTTTACAGTCACATTGAGACAATAATTGTGTGGTCAATTGTGGCATAGTAACTACTGTTAACTCACTATGTTCTTTACTTCTTAGGAGAGTTTTCCTTAGCCTGGTGGGCTTGCAGCACAGCCACCACCTCCTTCACCTGGAGAGAACAGTGAAGAGAGAGCACAATAACAACCATGATAACCCACCACCAAGGAACTCCCAGGGCTCATAAGTGGCCTCCTTTATGCATTTAGAATTTCTTCCTCTTCGCTGACCTGAAAGGACAGAGTGGAAGCATGTCATACCTTAGAGCGAAGGGACTCTGGTGACTCCGGCATGTGCAGCAGCTCAGAGTTGTCAATCTCCAGCAGCATCCCAGTGATTTTACCAGCCAGGTTGGGGTGAAGGCCCTGGATCGGCGGGTACAGTCGCTCACCTGCAAACCAAGGGAAAGAGAGAATGAGATTAGATTGAGAGACTGCCATCACAATTAATGAACACTCACCAATACCATTCCAGTCACAACCCAGCAGCTTTTTCTGCTCCATGAGAGGGGCTGTAGCCAGCATGGAGGCAGTGAGGGGTTCCTGGCCACTGACGTGCACCGCTAGCGCCATCATCTGGGTAACAACCTTACAACAGGAAATATTAAACACAATGCAATACAAATTACCACTGGGATGTAACTCTTAAAGGCAGATGTAAAATACCAGCAATCAGTCACCACAATGTATGCATCATTATGTTCTGTGTCAAAACAATAAACTACACAAATACATATTCAATTCTGCAGTTATTTTACATTGTATTTCATTGGGGAAAGGATGCAACTTAGAAATGTCCTGCACCCCTGAGGAGTGCTTATACTGGATGCCTCAGACCATATCACCAGACATGCCTGCACGACCTCCTGCTGTCTGTGTGCCAATGTTAGCTGGAGAGGTGGGTGTCGCTTGGTTACTATTTGGTTTTTGCACACACTGGTTTAGTAAGTAAGTGTTTTGAGTAAGCTTTTGGATGTAGCCCATACCCATCCTCTGTGTGTAGTTGATGAGTGGACCCTGGGTGGAGGCCTTTCTGACGGTGGTGGAGGCTTGTCGGGGAACAGCAGACCTAACAAACTGGCCTGAGTAGGGGGCTGATAGCAAAACAACACATGCCATGTCAATAGGGCATCACAAACAAACACATTAGTGTAACAAATAAACATGTTAGAGTTGCAGTAACGCTTTAGTCGTTTAATTCTAATTCTTTGCCTTTAGCTCCAGTATCTCATCTAAAAAGCTTTCTATGTGAGCGCTGCCTCCAACTCACCCTGTGGTCTGGTCCCGACGGTGCCCAGCCTCTGCATGTACTTGTTGGGGTGAGGATGGCATTACGTTCCTCCTTGCGCTGGGCTATAGCCACGTACAGCGGTTTGGTGACCACGATGCGGCCGTTCATCTCAGTCACCGCTTTGGTGGCTTCCTCGGGCGATGAGAAACAGACAAAGCCAAAGCCCTTGCTGTGGACCCCGTCCGTCATCACCTGAGTGAAGGCAAGAGTTAGGGAAGATCAAGAAGTTACGAGGTACAGAGATAGTACACAGATCCTTTGTGATACATCATTGGATAGCAGATGTGACTACTCATGAAAAAGTTGGGTATTACCACCTTGGCACTGGTGATGGTGCCGTAAGGTGCAAACTCCTTCCTGAGTTTCTCGTCGTCTAACCCATCATCCAAGTTCTTGACGTACAAATTGACCCCCTGAATCAACACAAGACACTTCTTCCAATTAACTTACGTTAAAGCCATTTTTCTTCATACCACAGGTGTGCGCACTTCCCCACAGTACCTGATAGCGGTGGATGCGTTCTTGTTTCATCAGCTCAAACTTGCGTTTCAGCTTCCCCTGTCGCTCGATCCTCTTCTGAGCATGTCCCACATACAGAACTCGACCAGGATTGAGTTTTTTCCCATTCATCTGCTCAACTGCCTAAAAGCAGTCAAGGTCAACTAAAAAAGCCCAATTTTAAATGTCATGTTCCCAATTTTCACATTATAATGGTTGATGAGGAGATGACACATAAGGGAGCAACTTCAGAGTAGTCCCATAAAACCCATATACAAACCCTTTGTGCATCCTCGTGGTTTCCATAGTTTACAAAGCCAAATCCACGAGACCCTTTCGTCCATCATCAACCGCACACTGAGGGACCTGCCTGGGAGACCAAGAAAAGACAAGGAGCCTATATATTATAAGCTTTCATGCCAATTCACCCCCTACATCTGATTACATGGATGTTCCAGAATGTTCATTTCAATAAAATACAACATCAACCAGCACTTTATACTAGTGCCCAAAGAAAGGGATATTAAGTCATGTCAAAGCTAGTCTAGTCATATGTCCTACTTTCAGGATGTTCTTACCAAATGCTGAGAAGACATCCTTGAGTTTGTCATCGCTATAGTCTTCGCCAAAGTTCTTGATGTACACGTTTGTGAACTTCATGGCTTTGGCCCCAAACTCAGCCTGTCGCTCCTTTCGGGACTTAAAGTGGCCAACAAAACTGAACACCACACCCATCACCAGGGACAGTTGAGAGATAGAAATATAGAAAAAGAAATCCTTTAATAGAAAACAGAGGATGATGTATATATACAAAAGAACAAACTCATATGCTGGGATGTGGAGTAGTTTTAAGTGTGGAGACTTACATTGATTCTGATATCAACCTTTGATTTTACACATTCTTGACAGGCAGTTGATTATCATTCAGCATAAGCATGTTTTCAATGCTTGATTTAGAAAGTCCTGCAAGTCTCAACTTGGCCATCAGACCAAACCTTATTCAAATAAAAAAAAAGGACAGGAACAACTGTCTACTATTTCCCCTCACCTAATCGTGGACAACTGACATTTTTCCCCCAGGAAATGGGCCTTTGGGTGTGCATTGCCAGAGTCACTACATGTCTCTAGCCTGAGCAAAGAACATGAAAATATTATCTGCTAAAACGTTTATCACGGTCTGAATAAACGTTGAACAAATCAATATTCCCTCCTCCTCCCAAACCATTACAGATTTTCTTTGCACTTTCCCCACTTACATCTCATTCAATTCCAGGTGGTTTATAGACTGGTTGAAAGAAATGTAAAAAATTAAATAAAATACAAATACCATATGGATAGAATAAATAGCTCTTGGTAGGAATTTGTTCACTCACACTTCCGGTCATTCAACAGCATTCCATTCATGGTATCAATGGCTCGATTGGCTGCCTCTTGAGTGTCAAAGTGAACAAAGCCGTAGCCTTTGGAGCCATTCTCATCACACACAACCTGAAATTGAAAAGTTCATGTTGGTGCAGAAAAATGATGCCCTGACACTCAGACAAGAATAGAATGTCTAATGTCTACCTTACAAGACAGAATATTCCTGAAGGCTGAGAATGTGTCATACAGGGCATTGTTGTCAATGGACTCGTCCATGTTCTTGATAAAAATGTTTCCAGCTCCAGACTTCCGTAGCCCTGGGTCGCGCTGAGACCACATTATTCTGATTGGTCGACCCTTGAGGACCTCATAGTTTATCGTATCCAGAACACATTCCGCTGAAAAAGACTAAAGACATACACTACATCAGACATCTGCTCATCATACACATGTCCATGAATAAATTTATATAATATTTAATTGGTTTAATCATTGGAATATTAATCAATTAGCAGGATTAATCTTGCCATCCAGTTGATCAAAGCAAATAGCAAAGTCTACTTCAATGTAGTTGACATTTGGAGTGGCTCTAATTAAGAGAGACAAAGCTCTCATATGGTGTGAGTTACCATCAGCTTATGTCTATTTGTCCATGATTGATACGTAGTAAAAATGTTACCATCAGCGGGCTGCTGGAAGTTGATGTAGGCGTATCCTAGGGGACCTGCGAGTGATGACATCACGGCAGACGCGGATGGACATGATGGGCCCAGCAGGAGAGAACTTCTGGTAGAGTATGGACTCTGTGACGTCAGGGTGCAGGTCCCCTACGTACAGGGAGGACAACGGGTATGACTGACCACTGCTGTTCATCCTGCAGACACAGAGAGTGTGAAGATCAGAGAGCCTGAAACTGGCAGACAACAAAATAAAAACTAACGGTGAGTTGGAGACTTTATTGTTTTGCACCATTTCATTGACTGCTATCTTATATGATGTTGCCAAGTCCCTTACAAATTTAGGCTAGTTAGTTTATCTGACCTCTGGCCTGGGACTTGAGACACATGGTCTGTCTCTTGGGGGTGGGAGGGGAGGTGTCACATAAGGAAATTGACCAGCTGAGGATCAGAATGGCCAATTAAGTCCAGTGGGGCAACTCTGTTCCTTCTGACCTGGTTGTGTAAGGTCGATGCTAGCACCTGCCCTCCATAAAAATGTGAGTAATGTTACACAACTATTTCTGAACCTCACATTAACCTGTTAAACTCAGTGGTTGTTTCCGGTGAGTTTGGGGGAAAAGTGACATTATTCGAAAGCTACATTCCTTGTCTTTTTGGAAATCGAACTCAAATCTTACTGCTGGCAATGTCATGAGACATACTGCTGGCAATGTCCCCCCCCCCCTAATTCCTACCTTGCTTACCATGGCATTGGCTATTAGCTAGCTAGCTTACCAAGCAAACCAGACGACAGGTTTGATATGATGTAGCTAGCTAGTTTTCAATACAACCTGGCCAGCTAAAATTCCTGCTCGCTCACGTTAGCTAGCTAGCTAGCTAGCTTGTTTCAACTCTGATTTGCTAGCTAACGTTATGTAGCTAGCATTTGAGTGCTGACTGTTCTCATAAAAGTTTATTGTGTAGTGCAAAAATGAATGAAGGATCCAGCTATGGTGATAATTCGTGTCATGTCTGATTACTGCAGTACCGCTTGTCTATGTGCTAGCTAACAACAACAAGCCCAGACGAGCTAGCTAACGTTGTGTCAGCATCCAGCAGTGATCTGCTTGGTGGTTGTATAGTAACGGCGTCACCAGCCCAAATTCTAATTGAGCTGGCACCAGTTGTGAAACTGGGCTGCGCTGGCCCGGGCTTCCCTAAACCCAGCTCAAATTTCAGAATAGAATTCCAGCTCTAATTTGGCCCTAATTTGCCCTCGTTTTAAGTGCCAATGGAAACGGGGCTTTGGAGTCACGCGATGGCATGTTGTGTAGTCCTCCCCACTACAACTCTTCAGGAAAGCATGCCGTTTATTAGGCTACAGATTAAATAAATTATGATGAACTTCCCAAGGGGTGAAAGTGAAAGGTGATGAGCTTGATGCTCCTTTCCAATAAATATCAAAAGGTCTTATTCTGGTGACATGATCATCGATGCTTGGCTGCTGTTTGACAAAAAAATACTCACAAAATAATAAAATAATGTAGGCTATATGTGCGCTCTAGCCACCATCGAGCAGATACAATACTGTAGGCCTATCTGCACGCTGTTAGTAGAAAGCATGTGCCAATACCAGAGTGGGCACACTCGCTATATAACGCAATATTTTTTGTGAGAAAACCATCAGTAGAGTTGAAAATGTGATGGAAACCCATTGAACTTGTATTTTTTTATTGAGTACATGGGAATTTAACTGCAAAAGTTATTTTAATGTACACTACCTCATCACGCACAACTTTTTATTTGCAAGAAGGAAATTTGATGCAAACATCTCTGGCGGGAAAATATGCATAGTTTTTAATGTGGATTTTAGAATATTGCCATGAAAATCTGTTGCCAATTGGATGGAAACCTAGCTAGTGACTCACAACTCAAACCTAGGGTTGCAAAATTCCGGGAACTTTCAATAAATTCCCTGGTTTTCCAGAAATCCTGGTTGGAGGTTTCCGGATTTCCTTCTTACTCACTCCTGATTCCGGGAATACTCCAACCAGGATTTCGGGAAAACCAGGGAATTTATTGAACGTTCCCGGAATTTTGCAACCCTACCCAAACCAGGCAACTGGTTTCAAGTGGCCAAGAGATGTCATGTGATCTTATACTGCTCCTAGTGGACGAACTGGGAATCAGACATTTACACCAATGGATAGGTAGACTTCAGCTTTCTCCTCATGTATATCATTCCTGTAAGACGAAAAATGAAGGCATGTCACGTTGCACTAGCCCTGCTCTTTTAAAATGGCTGTGTTCTGTGGGGGTCTATTCTCTTACAACTAGAAGTGATGCCTAGCTTAAAAAGAATACATTAATGATTAAACATAATAGGTTTGTGCTGTACTGATATAGATTGTTTAACATAACAAGCTGTGACTAATGTGAGGAGCCGTTAGGGCGGAGGCTGAGATAGACTTGTGACACACACACACACACTGCCTCTTTGTTAAACCACTCAAGAAAATTCTTTTTTAATCTTCAACATAGGAATGCTACCAAAAATAACTTAATGAAACTGGTTACAATTGACGGAGTCACCCATAATTCACCAAATGACATTTTGAAGGAAGAAACAAAGTACTTTAAGCATATGTTTTCTTTTCAGTCGCCTCCATCTCCTCTAACTGAAGCTAATTGTAGAGATTTTTTTTCTATTGATAATGTCAAATTAACACCCACACAGAAAGACTCATGTGAAGGTGAAATTACAAAGGAGGAACTTCTGGATGCAATTAAAGACTTTAAGTCTGGGAAAACTCCAGGGTTGGATGGCATACCAGTCGAGGTATACCAAACCTTTTTTGATATACTAAGAGGACCGTTATTAGCATGTTTTAACCACTCCTATGTAAATGGTAGATTATCTGACACTCAAGAAGAAGGTCTGATCTCATTATTACTGAAACAGGATACAAGTGGAAAATATAAAGATCCAGTCCATTGACAAAATTGGAGGCCCCTTACACTTCAGTGTTGTGATGCAAAAATCCTAGCAAAATGTATAGCGCATAGAATTAAAAAGGTATTGTCGGATATTATTCATTCTAATCAGACAGGTTTTTTACATGGAAGATACATTGGAGATGATATAAGGCAAGTATTGGAAACAATAGAACACTATGGAAAATATGGGAAACCAGGCCTGCTATTCATAGCAGACTTCGAAAAGGCATTTGATCAAGTTCGACTGGGGTTGATATATAAATGCCTGGAGGATTTCAATTTTGGAGAATCTCTTATAAAATGGGTCAAAATAATGTATAGTAACCCTAGGTGTAAGATAGTAAATAATGGCTATTTCTCAGAAAGTTTTAAACTGTCAAGAGGAGTGAAACAAGGTTGTCCACTATCGGCATATCTATTTATTGTGGCCATCGAGATGTTAGCTATTAAAATCAGATCCAATAATAATATCAGAGGATTAGAAATCCAGGGCTTAAAAACAAAGGTGTCATTGTACGCTGATGATTCATGTTTTCTTTTAAATCCACAACTAGAATCCCTCCACAGCCTCATAGAGGATCTAGATACATTTTCTAACCTCTCTGGATTACAACCAAATTATGACAAATGTACTATATTACATATTGGATCACTAAAAAATACAATTTTTACATTACCATGTAGTTTACCAATAAAATGGTCTGATGGTGATGTGGATATACTCGGAATACATATCCCAAAGGAAATAAATGATCTCACTTCAATACATTTTAATAGAAAATTAGCAAAAATAGATAAGATCTTACTACCATGGAAAGGAAAATACCTGTCAATTTGTGGAAAAATCACCCTGATTAACTGTTTAGTATTATCCCAGTTTACCTATTTGCTTATGGTCTTGCCTACGCCTAGCGAACAGTTTTTTAAATTATATGAGAAAAAAATATTCAATTTATTTGGAACGGCAAGCCAGACAAAATTAAAAGGGCATATTTATATAATGAATATGAATTCGGAGGACAGAAATTATTAAATATTAAAGCATTAGACCTATCACTAAAAGCTTCAGTCATACAAAAGTTATACTTAAATCCGAACTGGTTCTCAAGCAAATTAGTAAGATTGTCTCACCCAATGTTCAAGAAAGGCCTTTTTCCCTTTATTCAGATTACAACAACTCATTTGCAGTTATTTGAAAAGGAAATCATCTCCCAAATATCACTATTTCTAAAACAAGCCATAGAAAGTTGGTTGCAATTTCAATTTAATCCTTCAGAAACGACAGAACGAATAATGCAACAAATATTGTGGTTAAATTCAAATATACTAATTGACAAAAAAACTTTATTTTTTGACAGAATGTTTAAAAAAGGTATAATCTTCTAAAATGATATCATCGGTAGGACTGGTGGAGTCGTCGCACATGCAGCAAACAAAAACATATGGAAATGTCTGCTCTACCCAAAATTACAACCAAATAATTGCAGCCTTACCGCAAAAGTGGAAGAGGAAAGTGGAAGGGGGAGAAAGTAAGGAACTTGTCTGTCGGCCTTGCATTAAAGAACATAATTGGTTAAGGAAAACTGTGATAAATAAAAAAGTATATAAGTTTCACTTAAGGACCAAAGGATTGACAGCCGTCCCATATAGATTGCAAAATAGTTGGGAAGAGATTTTTGACGTACCGATCCCCTGGCATAATGTTTATGTTCAATTTAAATTATTATATAAAATTCTTGCTACCAATATAATTAGATCATTTGTTTTGGTTCTGTCCATTTGTAGCTTGTTTTTGGATACAGGTCCAGGAATGGCTAAAGGATTGCAATATTTACCTGGAGCTAACCTTGCAGATAGCATTACTGGGTGATCTGAAAAGTCATAGTCAATCGATCAATAATATAATAATACTTTTAGCAAAAATGTCTATTTTTAATTCACAATCTGTAGAAGCAATGAGAATAGAAAGGTTCAGAACTTTTGTAAAACATCACAGTACGGTTGAAATATATATGGCAAATAGAAATCCTATATGGATGGTGTTAAGAGATAGATGGGAGGAATTGAATAGAGTTGAAGGATGGGACGAATAACAAATAACAACAAATAACAACAAAGATAGCTAATAATGTAAGCATACTGTGTCCATAATAAGTATATAGGTTGTATGTTGGGAGCTTTTGGGAAAGAGCACAGTTAGAAAGATATGGCATATAGAAGCAAACCGGATGGACATCATGAAAATGATCGGAGAGGTTGAGAGTAGAAGAAGTTCAGGAGCAAAAAAAATAATATATATATATATATATATATATATATATATATATATATATATATATATATATATATATATATATATAATAGAATTATTGTACAATTAACTGTGTCCATAAGGTGTAGATAGTAAGTATAGACCGGAAGTAGAGGCCTGGGCATTGTTGTTCACTAATTTACTCCAAGTAGGGAAAGGATGGCGGGGTTGAAAAGTAATAAAGGGGAGTATATATATATAAAAAACATGGGGGATTGGAAGTGATGCAGACAATTACATTGATAGAAGATACAATCTATCTGCAATATTAAGCTGATTCACCCCCCCCCCCCCCCCCAAAAAAAAAAAAAAAAAAAACAATGAAGAAGAAGAAACTATGTCTGTGGTTGCTGACTCTCGAGACAAGTTGCAAAAACAACTAATGCCCGGCAACAGTGAAGTGCCAAGGGGCTGGGACCAGCCTGTGCGCCAATGATAGGCTGAGCAAGTCTAAACCCCGCCCA